CTATGTCAGGAATTCATCATCTGTAACTGCATTCTTTACTTTAATGTACCTTTAATTTCTTTAGAGTAAAAACTGGATGGATTTTAGAGTGGGATGCCTTCTACTTTCGATTTCTTTCTTATTTTATTTGTTTTCTTTCCTTCCTTCCTTCCTTCCTCCTTCCCTCCCTCCCTCCCTCTCTCCCTTCCTTTCTTCCTTCCTTCTTTCTTTCCTCTTTTCTTTCTTTTTTTCCAGATAGGGTTTCTCTGTAGCTTTGGAGCCTCTCCTGGATCTTGCTCTGTAGACCAGGCTGGCCAGGAACTCACAGAGATCCGTCTGTCTCTGCCTCCTGAGTGCTGGGCCACAAGTTCACATATCCCTGGCTAACTTTGAACCTGCTGTGTAGACCAGACTGGCCTTGAACTTGTGGCCACCTTTCCATTCTCCTCAAGTGCCAGGTTTCATAGGCGTTTGTGACCAGCCTGGCTTTGATTTTTTATTTTTTATTTCTTTATTTTAGATAGGGTCTTAGGTGGCTCATGATGACCTTGAATCAGTTTGTAGTTGAAGATGATCTTGAACTTCTGATTCTCTTGCCTCCATTTCCCAAGTGCTGGCATTCCAGATCTAAGCCACCATATCTTTTGTGCAGTGCTGGGGGAGGAACCCAGGCCTTAGCGCATGCTAGGCAAGAACTCTACCAACTGACTACCTCCCAATGTCTTTCATAATTCTAAAGCAGTTCTAGTAAGATTCAGTTTCTACATTACACGGTTCACTCACCGACTTCCACGATGGTAGCTTTCAGTATGGTCGCAGATTGTGTAACTATCAGCGACAGCTTTTAGAAAACTTTCCTGATTCCCAAACATCCTGGATTCTGGGAGGGCTCTTTCTATTCCAGTGATTTGTTTGGCTAATCTGCCAAAGCTGTAGATTTTGTTTTGTCTTTCCATGATGGAAAGATGTGGATGTTGACAGGGGTGCCTTCTTGTTTTATGGGCTGGGGATGCAGCTCAGTGGTAGGGCACTTGCAGAGGCTGCCTGAAGCCCTGGGTTTGATCTCAACCCTGGAGGGAAGTAAAAACATTCAGTTAGCTTTTCAGTAGAACTTCCTCAGGCTCACATTCTCTCAGCTCGATAGGGCATCAGCCACTTGCAGAGGGGATTGCCCTGTCCCATCCAGCAGCCAGCAGCTTCCTGTGGCTACAGAACACTTGAAATATGCTGAGTTTAAACTAACGCTTGAGTTCAAAATATGCACAATTTAGAAGAATTGGTTTAAAACAGTATAAAATATCACACGTGTAACTTTTTTTTTTTTTTTTTTTTTTTTTTTTTGGTTTTTTTTTTCGAGACAGGGTTTCTCTGTGTAGCTTTGCGCCTCTCCTGGAACTCACTAGGTAGCCCAGGCTGGCCTCGAACTCACAGAGATCCGCCTGGCTCTGCCTCCCGAGTGCTGGGATTAAAGGCGTGCGCCACCACCGCCCGGCTTCACACGTGTAACTTTTATATTGATTCTATGTTAGGATATTTTAATATGTTCAATCAACATGTACGTAGTCTTTACGTTTTTTTATCTTAAAAAATATGGTTTCTAAAGAAGAAAAGAAGCAAAAACAAACAACACACACACACACACAAAAACCCAAAACAATGCTGCTGAAATATTCAGTCTCAGTGGTATGACGGTTTTTAATTAGCAATGCTACTCTAGGCAGTTGAAGTGGGAAGACATCGCCCTCTGCTGGACAACAGCCTGCATTTCACCCCCCCCCCCCTCCAGATACAAGTCATAGATTGCTAGATGCCTCAGAGAAAAATCAAGAGGGGAAAATAAGCGTTAAAATGCATCGAACACGGGCTGTGAGCAAAGGCTTGTGTTGGCTGGCTTTATAAACTTACATCTCATTTGAATCTGGAGCTCATGACTATAGTGTTGTTCACATTTGAAACATAGTAAACTGAGAACCGGAGAGCAGTAATCAGTGGTGACTGGGTCTCCCTCCAAGCGATCTGCTCCCAGAAATGGACCAGCGTTGTCCTCTTCATCCGGGTGATCAGCATCTGGAGAGCTGTGACCACAGTGCTGGTACCATTCCAAAAACCTACATTTTGTTTTTCTTTTTAACGTGATTTCCTATATTGTTATTTTTTATGTTTATGGGATTTTAGCCTGCACGTAAATTTGCACTACGTGCATGACTGATGCCTGCAGAGGCCACAAGAGGGCATCGGATCCCCGGCAACTGCAGTTAATGGAGGTTGGGAGCCACCCTGTGGCTTCTGGGAACGGAACCTGGGTCCTCTGCAAGCGCAGTAAGGACTTAGCCCCTGAGCCATCTCTCCAGCCCTTTGTTAGAGTCTTTTAAATGCTTACATCACAGAAGAATGTTATTACAGCACTTTAGAAAACGCGGTTTAAAACTTGCCAGATCTACTACCATAGCCCTTCGTGTGTGTTTTCTGCCACTTTCCGATATTTGTTGTTGCTGAATCGATGGTGTGTGCAAAGGGGTGTTCCACTTTCTCTTTTCTCCTTCATTCTTGGTTTTTTTTTGTTGTTTGTTTTTTGTTTTTCGAGACAGGGTTTCTCTGTGTAGCTTTGCGCCTCTCTGGAACTCACTTGGTAACCCAGGCTGACCTCGAACTCACAGAGATCCGCCTGGCTCTGCCTCCCAAGTGCTGGGATTAAAGGCGTGCGCCACCACCGCCCAGCTTCATTCTTGTTTTTAACCACTTAAAGTTTTAAGGGCCTGGAGAGATTGCTCAGAGTGTAAGAGCACTTCCTGCTCTTCCAGAGGTCCTGAGTTTAATTCCCAGCAACCACAAGGTGTCTCAGCACCATCTATAATGAGATCTGGTGCCCTCTTCTGGCCCGCAGGCATGCATGCAGGCAGAACACTACATAATAAATCTTAAATTTTGTTTGTTTTTGGTTTTGGTTTTCTCAGTGTAGTTTTGGTTCCTGCCTGGATCTCGCTCTGTAGACCAGGCTGGCCTCGAACTCACTGAGATCCGCCTGGCTCTGCCACCCAAGTGCTGGGATTAAAGGCGTGTGCCACTGCCGGCCCGGCTAAAAATTTTTACAAGACATGAGCTGGAGAGATGGCTTAAATGTTAAAAATACCCGTTGCTCTTGTTGAGTAGACACACACACACGCACACACACACACACACACACACACACACACACACACACACACACTCATACAATTAAAATGAATTAATTGGAGATACTGTAGGGGGCTGGAGAGAACCCAGGGGCTGGCACACACTAAGTGCAGTTCTACCACTTTGCTGTACCACTAGCAAACGCATTCATAATTATGGGTTTCCTGTACTGTAAACACTTTCTACCAGAACATTCATTACCATTTGGTCTTATCCTGTGACAAGTGAGCACTTGGCCATTTCTCTGAAATGCTGCCTCCTCTTCCATCCGGGGCTGTCAAACTCCTCTCCCTCCTTTGCAAGAGTCCTAGGCATGCTCCTCCTGGCTGGGTGGTTAGGAGCTGCGCTGGTGTGAGTCAAGCGTGTCCTGAGGCGGGGAGACGAGGCACTCAAAGGCGGTGCAGTATTTCTCACCAGTTCAGCCTCATTAAAGTGCCTCACAGCCCATGAATCCTACAACTTTAAATGGTGCTGTGCACTTGCGGTCCAAACATATGAGGCCAAGTCAGGAGGCAGAGGCTGGAAGAAGACCTCCACACATTCCATGCCATCCTTGTTTATATAAGTTCCAGGCCGGCCATGGCGACCTTGTGAGATGCGGTCTAAAAAGACAAAACAGAACCAAAAATTCCACAAGAGGTGGCAAGCAGCTCTGATCTCTGTGTGGGGGCCTTCAAGATGGCTCAGCAGGTAGAGGCTGACGATCGGAGTTAAATCCCTGAAACACATGTGGTAGGAAGAGAACCAGCTCCTGCAAATTGTCCTCCGACCTTCGCTTGTGTGCTTTCGTGCACACATGCTTCCCTAACCCCAAATCAATCAATAAGATGTTGCTTTAAAGATTTTTAAATTATCTGAGTGGCGGTGGTGCACACTTTTAATCCCGGCACTCAGGTAGGCAGAGGCAGGAGGATCTCTGACTTTGAGGTCAGCCCGGTCTACAGAGTGAGTTCCAGGACAGTCAGGGCTGTTACACAGAGAAACACTATCTCAAAAAAAAAAAAAATGTTCATTGTCATAGGGTTCTAAAACACAAGGCGTAGGGTGCTGTACTGTTCGGGGTCTTCTTAGTGTACCCAACTATTTCCCCTGCTTTGGAACTCGGGGTCGAATTTACTGCCTTGCGCGTGCTATGTAAGTTCTCTACCACAAATTCTCTCACACTGAGTTGCTCAGGCTAGCTCTGACAGGCCTTGAACTTAGGACCTCCCCACCTCAGCTTTCTGAGCAGCTAGGATTACAGGCCTGTACCATGAGGCCTGGTTTCCTCAACCTGTCTGAACCATGAGTGGATTCATCTCCGACAGGGTGTGATGGTTCAGAGCTGGCATCCTAGGACTCAGAAGAGGGAGGTGAGGAGGCGCTCCTCTCCATTCAAGGTTGACCTGGGTCACATAGCAAGACCCTGTCTCCTAACATGGAGAACGAAGGCATAGGATCTGAAGCATCTCTGTAAAAGAAGGCGGTGCTTTGGCATCAGGTACCCATCTCCATCTGGAGGACCTTTGGGTAACGTGGAGATAGAGATACAGGCATGGCAACAGTGCTGGGCACGGGGGTGCACACCTGTGATGCCAGCCCTGGGAATACTGAGGCAAGAGGACCAAGAGCTCGAGGACTGTGGTGGCGCACACCTTTAATCCCAGCACTCGGAGGCAGAGGCGGGTGGATCTCTGTGAGTTCGAGGCCAGCCTGGTTTACAGAGTGAGTTCCAGGACAGCCCGGGATATATAGAGATATACTTGAAAAGGAAAGAATCCAATTAACTTGTTAGAGACAGAGTGTAATAATTGCAATGAGGCTGTGTGAGGGATGCTTACGCCCGTGTGGGTTCCGTGTTCCGACAGGTTACCCTGCTCGGAGAGCCCGGTACCAGTGGGTACGCTGCAACCCTGATGGCAGCAACGCAAACTGCGTGGAGGAGAAGGGACCACTCTTTGACCTCATCATGGACGCATCCACCAACCTCCTCCGCCCATCGATGGCCGATCCTGCTTTGTAAGTGCAGTTTGGTCCGATCTCAATCTCGCAGAAGTGGCGGAGTGTTTCTTTTCAGGTTCCTGCTGTGGCAGCTCTGTTTTCTCCTTCACATTAGGGGAAAACGTGCCACATAGGCTGAACGAAGCCTGGGATGTGCCAACACACGTGGGCTCATCCATGTTTCTGTAAGGTTTTCTTGTGGGTGGCAGGAACAAACATTGAGAACGATTCCCCCAACATACATGGAAAACGATTGAATATGGTTTTTTTTTTTTTTTTTTTTTTTTGGTTTTTCGAGACAGGGTTTCTCTGTGTAGCTTTGCGCCTTTTCCTGGAACTCACTGGGTAGCCCAGGCTGGCCTCGAACTCACAGAGATCCGCCTGGCTCTGCCTCCCGAGTGCTGGGATTAAAGGCGTGCGCCACCACCGCCAGGCTTGAATATGGTTTTATATTTATGCAAATAAAGTGTTTACATATTAAAATCGAATTAGATTTTTTTTTTCTGAGACAGGCTTTTACTATGTTGTCCTGGCTAGCTTGGAACTTGCTCTGTAGATCAGGCTGTACTTGAACTCACAAAGATCAACCTACTTCTGCCTCTGAGTGCTGGGATTAAAGGTGTGTGCTACCACAGTGGGTTTTTTTGTGTGTGTGTGCTGAATTGGAACATATTTATTAAATACTGAAATTAACAGGTTTTTTTTTTTAAATCTTTTCTAGTTCTCATCAGTGTTTATTCAGTTTTACTTTGTGATTGACTTGTCACTCAACATGTTCTGGAAAAACAACGATATATAAATCAATACTGTTAGGATCAAAAAGCAGCTAGGCATGGTACCACATTCCTCTAAAATGGATGGTTGTGAATTCATGTCCGGTCTGGGCTACACAGTAAGACCTTGCCTCAAGTCAGCTTCCACAGCTTAGGAACAGCCTGCTTCTGTTTTTCATTTACGTGCGTGTGTTTACGTGCATGAAGATGCCTCCAGGTACGTGTGGAGGTTGGAGGACAATGTACAGGGCTGAAGTGTTGTCTAGGGGACTGAACTTAAGTCATCGGACTTGGTGGCAGGCACCACATGTGATGTGCCATCTTGCTGGCTAGTGTGGGAAGATGCCAGCTTGGTTCCTTGGCTGTCTCTTGTTGACTTTACATCCCTGCTACTCCATGTTTAAGCAGCCTGCCTCGGGTTAAATATTTAGAGTTCCCCTATACCCTGTACCCACCAGCTTGTCTCAGACTTCTATTCTGTAGTTGCCTCTCTGGTCCAGCATCTTCTTCCACCAGTATACAGACATTCTAGGGCTTCCTGACATTGGATAGACCACCCCCAACTCTGTATCTTTTGTTTTGTTTTTTTTGAGACAGGGTTTCTCTGTATAACAGCCCTGGTTGTTCTGAAACTCACTCTGTAGACCAGGCTGGCCTCGAACTCACAGAGATCCGCTTGTCTCTGCCTCCCGAGTGTTGGGACTAAAGGCATGTGCCACCACCACCCAGCTCCCAACTCTGTCTCTTTATAGCTGTTTCTCGTCTCTGCTCTTTACTATGTCAGATTTTTTTTTTTTGAGACAAAGTTTCCTCTCATTATATAGGAATGTCTGGCCTGGAACTCACTCTGTAGACCAGGTGGCCTTGAACTCATAGAGATCCGCCTTCCTCTGCCTCTCAAATGCTGTGATTAAAGGTGTGCGCCACCATACTTGGCACATCAGCACGTCATAGAAGGGATGCTTATGCTTGCCCCTCCCCCAACACATATAGTTGGACTGTTCCTGTCCTCAGTCCAGAGGATTTGGTGATTGAGACACATCTATTGATCGTGTCTCTATTTTTAGGTTACTTGACCGCTTCACTGCCTTTTAAGATGGTTGACTCACTACTTCCTCTGAAAGCCCCTTCCTGTGGATGTCTGCCATCCACGTGTCTGGGTTGTTGGGTTTCTGTAGCTGTGTTCTCTTTGGCTCACGTTAAACATCTGGTGTGTCCTGGCTCTGTCACAGGCCTATGTGTTTCCTCAAGGTGACCTCTGCCTGTTCCACACCTTTCAATTCCATCTGTATGTCAGTAACGGTCATGTCTGCATCCCGCTCTCGGTGATCTGGCGGGCTGACGCAGCCTCCTGGGCACATTTGATGACATTTGTTTCCTGACTCTGCATTACCTACCATTTTCCTGATTGATTTATTCACTAGGATATTAACTTCTTGAGCAGGGGACCTCACCTTTCTTTCCCTGTTATATCTCAAGCAGTGAGGGCAGAGACCAGCTAGTCAACAAACAATTTTTTTTTTTGCATGAATGACTGGGTATAATTCTTACCAGTTTTTTTTTTTTTTTTTTGGTTTTTCGAGACAGGGTTTCTCTGTGTAGCTTTGCGCCTCTCCTGGAACTCACTTGGTAACCCAGGCTGGCCTCGAACTCACAGAGATCCCCCTGGCTCTGCCTCCCAAGTGCTGGGATTAAAGGCGTGCACCACCACCGCCCGGCTAATTCTTACCAGTTTTACAGCTTATAGTTTGTGATTTTTCCTGGAGAAAATGACCCATAGGCTATAACGTTAACAACCACCCCCACTTTTGAAACAGGGTCTTGATATGTAGACCTTGTTAGCCACAAATTTGTGGGCACCCCCTTGTCTCTTTTTCCTACTGGTTTGTGCCACCATTCTGGGCTGGAAGTCAACTTTTGCCAAAGATGCTCTGCTGTCCAGGTTTCCCAAGGATGGGTGGCAGCGTTTCTCTGCTCTGGCTTTCGTGTGCTCTGTAGAATGAGTTACATGTGTCTAACCAACCCCCTGACTCAACCCTGGCCGATTCCCCCTTTAGCTCAAGAGTACATATTTAAGTCTTATATTTTAGGAGAGGAAATTTAGTGTTTAAGTTGTGGTAAGGTTAATAGCCTCTTCCAGGTGTGGTAGCCCTTTAATCCCAGCACTCTGCAGACAGAGGCATGTGGATCTCTATGAGCTCTAGGCCAGCCTGGTCTACAGAGTGAGTTCTAGGCCAGCCTGGGATATACAAATGAGACCTTTGTTAAAAAAAAATCTACAAACAATAACAAAAAAGAACTTCTTGAGCTAGGTATGTAGGTACATGCCTGCAAGCCTCACATTTAGGAGGCTGAGGCAAGAGAGTCAAGAGCCTGAGACCAACTTGGCCTTCCTAATGACACTCTACCTACCTCAAAAGAACAAAGAGTGAGCATTAATCTGTTTTGGTACCATGTGAGTTCATTAGAAGTTTTGTGGAAAGCTTAAATTAGGAAACAATGTCATCTGTCTAGAATGATTTGGTGGTGTGCCCTTTCTTTAGGGAGAAAATATCAAAAGATTTTTTATTTTTTTTTAAGTAGATGGTGCTAAAGAAAATAAAAAACAGGATTTCTGTAGTTAGTGATATGAACGATGAACACTGTTCATCTGAGTCTGCCTTGGGTAAATGTGGAATCAGTGAGGGCAATGAGTTAATATGATGAAAATAAGCAAACATTGACATGGAGGGCTTGGTTTATTGTTTTTCTATTAAAGATTTTATCTATTTTTTAAAGATTTATTTACTTATTATGTGTACATAATATACATTTAAAGATTTATTTACTTATTATGTGTACATAATATACATGTATGCCTGCATGCCAGAAGAGGGCGTCAGATCACATTACAGATGGTTGGAGCCACCATGTGGTTGCTGAACTCAGGACCTTTGGAAGAGCAGCCAGTGCTCTTAACCTCTGAGCCATCTCTCCAGCCCAAGATGCATCTATTTTTATTTTACATGGACGAGTGTTTGCCTGCATATATGTGCAGGCACCACATGCACGTCTGGTGCTGGAGCAGGCCAGATGAAGATGTCAGAGTCTCTGAAACTGGAGTAACAGGTGCTTGTGAACCTCCCTGTGGGTGCTGGGAACTGAGCCCAGGTCCTCTGCAAGAGCAGCAATTGCTCTTAACCACTGAGTTGTCTCTTTAGCTCTGGCTTTTTGTTTTGAAGCATTGAAGAGGGTTTTAACTCCTTGATTTTGAACAGCTGGGTGTCTAAATATGTCTCCATGTCTTCTTCTCACTCCTCTTATTCTCCCTAACCCAACCCCATTTTTGTTTTGTTTTTGGAGCAAGGCTCAGATAGCCCATGCTGGCTGCAGTTCACCACGGGTCCAAGGATAACTCTGATCCTGCAGCCTCTGCTGCCCAAAACTGCAGTCATGTGTTACTCCACACACAGCTTATTTCTTTAGATTAAAATATTGAAATTACAGTATTGGTAAGTTGAACTTTACATTTTTTTTCTTTGTATTTCAGGATGAGAGGATTCCCAGATGATATCATCCCTATTTCTGAAGACATTTCTGGGTCAGGCTCTGGCTCGGGTTCGGGCTCTGGCTCCGGGTCCGGGTCGGGCTCCGGCTCTGGTTCCGGCTCCGGAAGTGGCTTCCTAGCTGACCTGGAATGGGAGTACCAGCCAGCAGATGAAAGCGAGGCTGTCTATTACAACTATAGGCCTTTAGACAGGATGCCCCACGAGCAAAACCAAGCGCAACCAGAAGATCTGATTATATGAAAGTGACCGTTTCTGCTCCCCACCTCCGCACAGAACAATGTAGTCAGTATACTTTGTGTACCACGTTTAAATGATCAGTCTTGGGATAAAGAGTTTTACATGAAATTTAAAATACCTGGAAATGACTCTTAAATCCTGTCAGCCTTTCCTCATGAATTCTTAAGGAATTACGCTTAAATGCTGTTACTGCTCTGGAAAATATCTGCACTTATATGTGTATTGAATCAACATTATGGAATTAACTTCCAAACAGCCTTTAAAAGCCATGCTGTTTCTGAAAAATTCAATTTGAATAGCAAATTGATGAACAATATTTCATACCAAAAGTGTTCAAGAACTCGACTTGTATTGTGAATGACTAAAATCCTCCTTTTTATGATTAAAAATAAAATAAAACGAAACAGTGACCTCCTCCAGTGGCTACGTGACGTGGTTTAGAGTTATGGCTTCATTGTGCTATGGCCATCAGATATGATGGAGAAGCAGTGAATGTTGTTTATCTAAAAGTATTATGGGTTGGGTTGGAGATTTAGCTCAGTGGTAGAGTGCTTGCCTAGCAAGCACAAGGCCCTGGGTTCGATCCTCAGCTCCAAAAAAAAAATAATATTATTGGTTGTACAGTTAGAAGCTTAACATCTCAAGTAACACATAGTGTGGTCTCAATGCCTCGCAATGTTTGGCCTTTTCCCCCAGATGCCTGTTTAATTTCAAATGTTACTCTGTTAAAGCAAAGATACTACCAAACGGGAGAAGCTTTCTGGGATTTCTTTTTCTAGTCCAGGAAATAATTACTTTAAAAATGATTTTCTTTTTAAATTTGTATATATATATTAAGACACATACGATATCGTGGTGCTGGAGAGATGCTCAGTGGTTGAGCACTGGCTGCTCGGGCAGAGGACCCAGGTTTAATTCCCAGAACTCTCATGGCAGCTCACAACAGGAGATCCGATGTCACTTTCTGGCTTCCTTGGACACCAGGCATGCACATAGTGCACATATACACATACGGGCAAAACCACTCATTCACATAAAATAATGATATATATATATATATATATATATATATATATATATATATTTATATATATATTGGTTTTTCGAGACAGGGTTTCACTGTGTAGCTTTGGTGCCTGTCCTGGCTTTTGCTCTGTAGACCAGGCTAGCCTCGAACATCTCTTCTACTTCCTGAGTGCTGGGATTAAAGGTATGAACCACCACTGTCTGGTAAGTTAACTTTTTGTATTCTAGCAAAATGATTTTGGGGGAGGGTGAAGCTGGGTCAGTCTCTACATGTTGGCTCCAACTCTCCATAACTTCAGATCCAAGGGATCTAATGATGCCTTCTTCTGGTCTCCTTGGGCACCAGGCACACATGGTGCACATACATGCATTCTTTTTTTTTTTTTTTTTTTTTTCCAGACAGGGTTTCTCTGTGTAGCTTTGGTTCCTTTCCTGGAACTCACTCTGTAGTCAGAGATCTGCCTGGCTCTGCCTCCCGAGTGCTGGGATTAAAGGCGTGCACCACCAACGCCTGGCCCATACATGCATTCTTGTAGGCACACACTCATACACATGAAAAACAAAAGTAAATAATCTTTTTTTTTTTTTTTTGAGACAAGGTGTAGTTTTGTGCCTTTCCTGGAACTCACTCTGTAGCACAGGCTGGCCTCAAATTCACAGAGATCTGCCTGGCTCTGCCTCCTGAGTGCTGGGATTAAAGGCATGCACCACCACCCCCCGGCAATAATAAATATTTTTAGAAACAAATAAAAACATACCCCCAAAACTAATTCAATAGCTTTGCATGAGTCTGTGTCTTTAATAGGTAGAATATATGGGTCTAAGAATGAAGGAGCAGAAATAAGAGACTCAATTGCATTGAACGTAACTCTAGAAATCTGTGCTTTCCATTCCTGAAACTGTTTTTCAGATTTAGATGTTCCCTTAGTTAACTTTATCCGTCAACTTGACAAAGCTTAAGGTCATCTAAGAAGAAAATCTCCATTGAGAAATTGCCCAGATCAAATTTGCCTCTTGGGGATTGTTTTGATTGTTAAGGAAGGTCTAGCCCACTGTGGGTGGCACCATCCCTAGGCAGCCGGTCCTGGACTGTAGGAAAGCTAGCTTGGGAGAGCGCAAGCACTCAGCAGTCCTTCATGGTTTCTGCTTCAAATTCCTGCCATGAGTTCCTGCCCGGATTTCTCTCAGTGATGAACTGTGACCTGGAAGTGTAAGCCCAGTAGATCCTTTCTAAGTTGCTTTCAGTCAGAATATTTTATCACAGCAACAGACAGGAACAGATGACATGGCTCCTGTGGAACTTTTCCCCTAGGGTACCTTGTGAGAGTCCTAGTGAACTTTAGGCATGACATTTTAATCCATGTATACAAGGGATGAGAGCCAAAAATAGGACTCACCTTGGGTGTAATAGAGCTAATCACAGGACGGGCCTGCTGCACAGCTGAGGAAAGGGATGGTTGAGACTCAAGTATGTACAGAGGTTCCTCCTAATATTTTACCCTCATTAGCCAAGGACCAAACCGTTAGGAATATTTATGACCATTCACAATATAGTGGTGGAAACACAAATAACTGTAATATATTTTTATTATACATGTTTTTTTCCCAAATTGATAATAATTATAAACGGGGGGTTGGGGATTTAGCTCAGCGGTAGAGCGCTTGCCTAGCAAGCGCAAGGTCCTGGGTTCGGTCCTCAGCTCCGGGGGGGGGGGGGGGGAATTATAAATGGAATGCTAAGACAGCAGAGGGAAGGGGGTGAATGATTGTGCAGAAGCTGTTTGTTGCTACTGTCTTAGGATTTCAATCACTGCTTAAAATATTAATGTATTTATATCTTATGGTATTCTGCCTTCTTTCATCTGTGCTGAACCAGGATTTCTCATTCTTGTTATTATTGGCGCTTTGGGAAGGATTTCTTTCTTTCCTTTTCTCCTTCTTCTTCTGGCTGAATTGGTGTTTGAACCTAAGGCTCTGTGTAGCCGTAAATTTCTCCGGTCCTGCCACATCCCACAGCTGCTTGGTCCCAAGTAAACACACAGAGACTTATATTATTTACAAACCGTATGGCCTATGGGTCAGGCTTCTTGCTATCTAGCTCTTATAATGTAACTCAACCCATTTCTATTCATCTATATGTTGCCATGTGACTGTGGTGTTACTGGTCTGCTGGCCTCTTGTTGCTCCTTGGGCAGCACCTGGGGTCTCCACTCCACCCTTCTTCCTCTCATCTTTAGTTTGAATGTACTACCTAACCTTATCCTGTCCTCCCATAGGCCAATGCAGCTTTATTTATCAACCAATCAGAGCAACACATATTCTCAGCGTACAGAAAGACATCCCACAGCAGCTCTGCCACGAAGCTATACCCCAAGCCTCTGGACAGGATTTCTTTGTTGCAGGGTGATGCCTTGTTTATTGTGGAATGTTTAGCCATGTCTCCAACCCCTCTCCATAAGATACCCAGTAGTTCTGTTCCCCTAGATGTCATGGAAAATACGCCCAAACATTTCCAAATAGTCACCTGGGAGAAGTCGTCGCCTCTTTAGAATTGCGTTGTGGAATTGATGATCACTTAGGGGCTTATGTCTCATCCCTACCACTGCTACCTTTAAATTGATTACCCATTGCACAAGTCATCAATGGTTTACAGAAGCCAGGCATGGTGGCACAGGCCTTCAATCCCAGCACTTCTTAAGTGGAGGCAGGTGAGTTCAAGGCCAGTCTGGTCTCTATAGTGAGTTCCAGACCAGACAGGGCTACAAAGTGAGACCCTGTTTAGAAAAACAAAACAAAACCGTCTGTAGAAAATAAGACATTAGTAGCATAGTCATTCAAGTCTTTGATATAAAATACTTTTTTAAAATATTTTCTTAGTTGGGCGGTGGTGGCGCACGCCTCTAATCCCAGCAATCTGGAGACAGGGGCAGACGAATCTTTGTGAGTTCCAGGCCAGCCTGGTCTACAGAGGGGATTCCAGGACAGACTGGAATACAAAGAGAAATCCTTTCTTCAAAAAACAAAACAAAAAAAATTTCTTAACGTGCATGGGTGTTTCCCTGCAAGTACCTATGTTTACCGTGTGTACCTAGTGCCCACAGAGGCCAGTAGAGTGCATCAGGTCCTTTACAACTGGAGTTACAGACAGTTTCAGTCACCATCTGGATAGCGAGACCAAAGTTGGGTCCTCTGCAAGAGCAGCAAATGTTCTTAACTGTTAAGCCATCTCTCCAGCCTCTGATAGAAAGTTCTTATGGAGGAAATTATATCAATGACTGATGTAAAAATCATCCCCTTTCCTTTTTTTAGATGTTGGTGTGTTGATTACTTGGTGTTTAGTCTTCACAGGGAGAGAATACTAACAGGACTTCCAGAGAATAAGAGCTCTTCAGAATTGAAAATATGTTGGCATGAATTCCTTACTTATTGCTACCTAATGAATCACCTTACACTTTACTGGCTATGTATGTTTTTAATCCCAGTTCCTGGGAGGCAGAGGCAGGTGGATAGCTGTGAGTTCAAGATTAGCAAGTTCCAGGCCAGCCAGGACTAGATAGACCCAAAAACCAACCAAACAAACAAAAACAAAATCTTGGTGGCTTAAAACAATACACATTCTAAACTTTAAAGTTGCTGTGGATCAGAAATTGAGTAGATTGTTTAGAGATTCTACTCGAAGGGTCTTTTACAAAATTGCAGTCGGGACTGGAGAGATGGCTCAGTGTTAAAGAGCACTGGCTACTCTTAGGACCCGGGTTCAATTCCCAGCACCCACAGGGCAGCTCACAACTGTCTGTAATTCCATTTCCAGGGGATCTGACACCCTCATACAGACATATATGCCAGCAAAACACCAATGCACATAAATCTTAAAAAAATTGCACTCAGGATGTTCAATAGGGCTGGAGTCATCTGAAGACTTGATCAGGGATGAAGAGGAGAGTTTCCATGTTGGGATACTCAGGGAGTTGGCAAATTGGTAATGGCCATTTTCATAAGAGTTAGGAGATGACTTCTACCTGAGGCTGTATGGTATGGGGAGTGACCTCTATAGAAATATGTGACCCAGGGGAAACCAAGGCAGCAGCACTTGAGACAGCCACCCCACTTTATTTCCATCTTAGTTTGTTGGCCACACAAACCAGCTTTCATAGAATCTGGGGATGGATCACACACTAAGAGAGAAGGCTCACGGAGAGCTAGGCCTGACTGACATTGTTTACCGTTGTGCAGCAGCAGGAAAAAGAATCATCATCAGCATTAGAACTTGAGCAAGCATGGCGGTTCACGATATAATCTTTGCGTTCAGGAGACTGAGGCAGGAGGATCACAAAGGCAATGTCAGCCTGAGAAGGGTACTAAGACCATTTCCGGGACAAGAAGAAAAAC